CGGAACCCCCGAACCCCGGCGGGGTCCCGGGGCCGGGGGTCGACAACCCTGCACAGTTGTGTCGTGTTCCTCCACGCACCTTTCTACTCTGACTCACCACACCACTGTCATCGAAGAGGTTTTACTCTGACTCGCCACACAATTGGCCTCCAAGAAATTTTCCCTCGAAAGCTCCCACTTATTATTCCTCTTGCTTCAACTTCCCCATGGTCGTCATTAGAGATCTTCAGAAGGCTTACGCGGGAGAAGGACAAATAAAAATCACATCAGTCTTAAAATATTTGAATTCTAGCAAACTAGGAGATGGCTGAGCTCAAGATCCTCGCCAGAAAGCAGAGACACTCGAAAGAAAATATAATGCAGGCAGCATGCCATGTTTCTCCACGCACCCTGCTACTTCAACTCAACACCCAATTGGCAGTGAAAGAGGCTTTCCCTCGAATTCTCCCGCGATGCTGCGCATTCTAGTGTACTCTTCTCCTTTCCACTTACGAAAAAACTTCCTATCTCCTACCTTCCACTAGTTAAGCATTTTGTTCCTATTGTTACTTCTCTGTTGGACTGTTCAATGGGAAAGTCGCGGCGAGGCCAGGCCTCCGCTCTCGCATTGGATTGTGCAACTTCTCCTTCCTGCTCCTCGTCATGGCGGCAAGGGTTGCAAGTGAACAGTGCTACACGCGCGAAAAAAGAACCCTCACGTAGTGGCACAGGTGCTGGAGCGCTACGCTACCCGCCCGGTTCCTGCGCTCCCCGAAACTCCGCATGTAGATCTTGGTGGCAGCAATAAATGAGAACTTTGAAGGCCACGGTAGCGAAAGATTCCACGTGAACAGCTGCCTGCAGCGGCGTCCGCCCTGGCGCACTCTGGCAGACCGTGCCCAGGGCATAGTTCACCATCTTTCGGGTTCCACGGGGGTGTGGTTCAGGTTGCACCTGTGTAACACACCATACGCCGTATGGGCCTCTGGTCGTACAGCTGTATGGACAGTCGTACGGCCGTATGAACGGTCCCGTCCAAAGTGACGAACACCCCCCCAAAAAAAACAAAAAATATATATATATATATGGGGATGTAGAGCTTTTTGTGCGCTACACCCCCATTTTTTTATTTTATTTTTTGCTCTCTTTTATATTTTAAAAAAATAATAATAATCAAAACGGGAGAAAAAAAACCTGCGTAGCACCCCGTTCGTGTTCGCCGCCGAACTCGAACAGGCTCCAAAAAACAGCGAAGGCGAACTTTTTTTTTTTTTTTTTTTATATAGGGGTCGGGGGGGGTCATAGGTGGTGCCCCTGATTGATTGATTGATTGATTGGTCGGTTGACACCTCCTCCTCCTCCTCCTCCTCCTCCTCGTCCTCCTCCTCAATCGGGACCTCCTCAGTCGTCAGGAACTCCTCCGTCGTCGGGACCTCCTCCGTCGTCGTCCTCGTCGTCGTCGTCGTCGGAGGTCCCGACCGACCAAATAATCAATCAATCAATCAATCAATCAATCAATCAATCAACCAATCAATCAATCAATCAATCAATCAATCAATCAATCAATCCCGTCGAATCTATTGATTCGACAGGATTGATTGATTGATTGATTGATTTATTGATTGGTTGATAAATTGGTCGGTCGGGACCACCTCCGACGACGACGACGACGACGACGACGACGAGGAGGTCCTGAGGACGGAGAAGGTCCCGACGACGGAGGAGGTCCCGACGATGGAGGAGGTCCCGATGATGGAAGAGGTCCCGACGACAGAGGAGGTCCCGATCGAGGAGGAGGAGGTGGAGGAGGTCCCGACTCCCGACCGACCAATCAATCAATCAATCAATCTATTGATTCGACAGGATCTTGAACAAATCAATAGATTTGACGGAACTTGATTGATTGATTGATTGATTGGTCGGTCGGGAGTCGGGACCTCCTCCTCCTCCTCCTCCTCCTCTTCCTCCTCCTTCTCGATTGGGACCTCCTCCGTCGTCGAGACCTCCTCTCCCTCCTCTCCCTCCTCCTCGTCCTCCTCCTCCTCCTCCGCCTCGCCGCAAAGTCGAATCCCGTCGTTTTAGACGTCAGAAACCCCGCTCTCCTCTTTTTTTTTTTTTTTCCGCCGATAAGAAGAAGAAGAAGAAGAAGAAGAAGAAGAGGAGGAGGAGAGGAGGAGAAGAAGAAGAAGAACAACAAGAACAAGAAAAACAAGAAGAAAAGATGGAGAAAAGGAGGGGGAGGAGAAGAGGACGAGGAGATCGAGACGGGGAGTAGTAGTTGGAGAAGATGGCGGGGAGGAGGAGTTCAACAAGAAGAAGAAAAAAAAAAAAAAAAAAAAAAAAAGTGTGTAATGACGTGGCAGCCGCGCAGCGATTACAAGACGACGAGGAGGAGTTGGAGACTTGGAGAAGAAGAAGGTGGAGAAGAAGAAGAAGAAGAAAGGAAGAAGAAGCAGCAGAAGAAGAAGAAGAAGAAGAAGAAGAGGGTGACGAGGAGGAGAGAGATGGCCGACGAGTTGATCTCTCTGAGACTCTCTCTCTCTCTCTCTCTCTCTCTCTCTCACACACACACACACACACACACACACACACACACCCATACACACACACACACACGGCGGGGCAGGTTGGGGGCGGGGGGGGTGAATGGGGTTGGTCCTGGGCTATGGCTGGTCACTCACCTGCACAGCCACCTCCTCTGTGCGCTGCTGCTCCAGCCAGGGGGAACGCGCGTTGGAGTTCGATTTCAAATTCGAAATCGACTCCCCACAGCCCCCCTGCCCCCCGCCTTCAATTGGCGGGCCACCCCTGCCCTCCCCCAGGCCCCAAACCCCCCACCCAGACCACCTCCGGCAACCGCTACCAGCCCCCGCAAACGACGTTCGCAGCCTCCGAAAACGCGTTCTCGTGAACGTGTTCGCGACCCGTTCGCACGAACGTGTTCGTGCGGACGGGGAGCACTGCGAACACGTTTGCCGTGCTACGCAAAAAACAAAATAAAGAAATAAAAATTGATTGATTGATTGATTGATTGATTGTCGATTGATTGATGGCTTGTTGATTGATTGAATGCTTGATTGGATGATTGACTGATTGATTGATTGATTGATTGATTGATTCCAAACAAAGAAAGAAAACCCTCGCACTTTCGCGCTCAGCGCTAACATAGTTGCGCACTCCCTCTCTCTCTTTGTCTGTCTCTCACTGCGCGCGCGAGAGAGAGAGAGAGTGTGTGTGTGCATGTGTGTGTGTGTGTGTGTGTGTGTCTGTGTGTGTGTGTCTGTGTGTGTGTGTGTGCGTGTGTGTGTGTGT